AATTTTAACGTGAATTTTCGTTAAACGTTATAGTATTCGTAAAATTGAATTTACTTAAGTATATTTATTATATTGTGTTTTGCAAAAAATAATATTATACTGTATATTCAGTATTTTAAAAATCTAACGAACATTAATATTTTATTAAAATATATACTGATTATTAAGAAATAATTCAAGTAAGTAAAATTCATCCCTATTAAATACTGTTAATTTTACGATTAAGTTCTTAATATATTAGTAACATATTGAATAATACTTATCACTGACAAATCGACTATACTGCCTTTATAATTAATTATTATGCTTACAAGTTACAACATTACTCTTCAGAAACATAGAATTATGAGTAGACTGTTATTCCATTATATTTATCTATTATCAAGTTAAGTTCAGATATTTCTTCATACATTTTCTAAAAGCAATCCAATTTCTTCGATTTATTCAAAATATTGAAATATGTGAAGAAATTTTTTTGATAGAAGCGTAGACATAATTACAAATTTTTTCACCTCAAAAATTAGAAAAGGTATGTAAAGTAGAAAAAAGGGACTGAAAATAATAAAATTTCTGGTTCGCTCATCATGATTAACTTTTCATAATCCGTCACCTCACCATAAATATTTTTTAATTAGGATTAGGATTCACAGAAGTTGTTTGATCATGTTCGCCTACCCTCATACTGCGACTGCTATTCAATTGCTGATACTGATTTACATTCCTCATTAGGCTTACGTAAACATCACAAATCCATTCAAATGGTAAGCAAAAAAAAATTATGATATTGTCTGAATGAACTTATATACATAAATTTGAACTAAGTTTTGTAAAAAAATTCTTGATTACAAAATAGCAATTCTTTTAATTCCATCATGATTTTTACTAGAATGATATCAAATCGTCACTATTTTGATTGGAAAAGTACTATTAATTGTAGCGAATATTGGAAACTTTATTCGAGACTCGTTTAGTAAGTAAGGTAAAGTCTTTAATGAGAAAATATTTAAATATGAACTATTCCGTGGACTAGAATTTAATATTTTTTGTTGAGCCTCAGCACTTTCGTCTATAATCTCTTCTATATGGGAAGTTTCAATTTTGATATTACACTAATTAAACTTCTAAGCTAGTATGTTCTAAAATCTCAGCTTGTGTTTCCGTGGACTTAACACAAAATTTCCAGCTGGTGACCTCTTGTTATACATTAATAACAAATAAATTACTTTATTAGAATTTTTAATAATCAGATCAATGAACCGGAAAAAATACGGCCCGAAAAAAACAAATTAAATGATCACATGGATTGTGCAATGATCGGAGTAATTCCGCTTTTGATTTTAATTATCCTTTTTTAGTAACTCATTATAAATATATACATATAAAAAAAAAATTTTTTTTTTTCGTTCCAAAAAAAAAANGAAAAAATTGGAGACAAATTTATAATAAAATGATCGACAAAACTGGTTTTAAAGTTAAACAAATAAATGATCTACAGTCACGTGCTTACTGACTTATTTCCAGGCACTGTACATATAAAAAAAAAATTTTTTTTTTTCGTTCCAAAAAAAAAGATAATTTTATTAATACTATATATTACGAAAATAACCTAATGGAAACCGAATTTAGTAAATTAAATATCTCAGGTAGAGATTCCAATTACAAAAATTGTTCTTATTGTAATAAACCCTTTACTGAAGAATTATGGTGTAAAGAATGTGACCCATATAGAAAAATTGAAGGATGGACAAGTGAAAATCCTGATATTGATAAGTTTATAAAAGATACAATATATTATAAAATAAAAGATGATCATAAGTTTCTTGAATGGGTAACATATGAGAGGCTTACAGATATAAAAGAAATTGGTGAAGGTGGATTTGCCAAAGTATATTCTGCAACTTGGATTGATGGTATTTCAACTTATAGTGAACAAAGTGATGGAAGTTGGAAAAAAAGCAAAGTTGAATCTATGAATGTTGCCTTGAAAAGGCTAAATGGATCGCAGAATATGTCAGATAATTATTTAAATGAAGTACGTTTTTATACTATGTTATTTTAATTTATTTATTTTATTATTTAATATTAAGAATCATTATTAATACTCTTATATTGTATACATAGCTTAAGATACATTGGAATATATCTAAAAATGGCGGTTTGAGGTTCTATGGATTAACTAAAGACCCAGAAACTAAAGAATTTATGATGATTATAAAATTTGCTGATAAAGGAAATTTGAGAAGTATTCTCTTAAATAATTTTAACGATTTTATGTGGAAAAATAAAATTCGTTTGTTATGGGTTATATCATATGACTTAAACAGTTTACACAACTCTGGATATTTACATAAGGATTTTCATAGTGGAAATGTTTTAAAAACTAATACTGGCGAATATATTTCAGACTTTGGATTATCTGGACCAGCAAATGAACAAAAATCAGATGATAAAGTATATGGAGTAATGCCATATATTGCACCAGAAGTCTTAAACGGAGAACCATATACATCATCATCCGACATTTATAGTGTAGGTGTAATTATGGCTGAATTATCGTCTGGAAAACCACCTTTTTACAATAAGAAACATGATTTAAGCTTAGCATTAGCCATATGTAATGGACTCAGACCAGAATTTGGAAAAGGAACTCCTGAAATTTATAAGAAACTAGCTTATAAATGCATGAGTGCCGATCCAAATGAAAGACCAACAGCCGAAGAATTAAAAAATATATTTAGGTTTTGGTATCATTCTATTGAGGATGAAAAAGATGAAGTAGAAAAATTCGGTTATAAAGGAAGCGAAATTAAAGCAGCATTTGAAGAAGCTGATAAAGAAATACCAAATATCTCAACTTCGTATGAAAAGAATTCGGATGCTATATATACCAGTAGAGCGTTTACATTTAGTAATTTATTACCAAAACCTGTTAATTCATCCATTATTACTTCATATGTTAATAATGAAGGTATTTTTATTTTTAAATTTTTATTTTTACTTAAATAATAATTAACTTTTGTTTTAATAGTTTGTGACTCTCAATTAATCGACTTGGAAGTATCTAATTCAATACCATTAAGAGGTACTATATAAATATAATTTACCACTTACTTTATAACATTTTAAGTATACTAATAATATTTATATTTCTAATATTTAGAAATTGACGATGAAAGTAAAGTTGATGATTTAGTGAATTGAATATATTAATTGGTAGCTTAATTACTTTATAATGTAAGACTATGATTAAATAGCTTAAAAAATTTCCTATTTAAGATTACATATAATTATTATTTGTAAAATTCCGTTCCTAAAAATTTTGACGTGTCAAAAATTTATCTTTAATATCAGCTCTGACATGTGATTGGAGTAAAATATGTATTACTCCGTTTCCATTTTTACTATTTATATGTGGGACTCTTATTTTTTTAGTGCGAGAAACCTTCATATTAGGGTTGGTTAGTTGGTTTAGGAAATATTATTGGCTTTATGTCACGTTTCCGAGCTTTTATTATGGGAGTTATTATATAAATGTAAAATCAGACATTTTAAAAAAATAATTTTTTTTTATTCTGCAATTTAAACAAAACTTTTAAATGAAATACCTACTTATAAACTAACAAATTTAAGTTAATTATACAATTAAAAAAAGCAAGTCTTGACAAAATCACTCATTATTATTAATAAAGACATAAAGCGACTTTTTTTTTTATAAAAAAGAAATTTTTAATTCAATAAAAACTTAACAAGAAACCTTTAATCTTTGATAATTCTTACGTCATTTTATTTGATGCTAATACTAATAAATTTATGGTAGATATAAAAAAAATATATTTAATAATTAATGGACGAGAGAATTTATATCACACTTCGTAGGTTCATTTACGAGCAATTATTTGCAATAACTTTATTGAAAATAATCATAATTTTAAATGTTCAATGTAACTACAAAAAATTACTTTTTTCGATTAAAATTAAAAAGTAAATTATTTTTCAGCTTATTTTAAAATGAAAAAAAAAGTATAAAATAGTTTATATCTTTGGTTAACGTTAAAGACTTGATATGATAATTGAGTTCCACTCATCTTTCTTTTTTTTGTTAAACAAGAATCAATCCTATTTGTTGATATCATTCGAAAAGGTAAATCTATGTCAAGTCCATTCAAAGTCCTTTACTATCATTGAAATATTTCATTATTCCTATTGCTTTATAATTTTCCATCTATCGTTTTTTTTTACAAACAGTTTGAAAAAAAATTCTAACAACATAAGATGTTTACGTTAACAATTATCAAAAAATGATTTTATGGATTCTGATTTAATTGGGTTAAAAGACGAAATATGAAATCCAACCTACTGTGTATCAAGGAACAATATGACTTATGATCAATATTACTATAACTTAAAAGGTAAAAGACGATAATTAAAAGGCATTTTTTTTACTATTTTTAAATAAATAAATAAGTAAAGTAAATAAAGTCACGAGTCCATTAATAAGTCTAAAAATATCACCGAAAAAAAAAAAAAAAAAGGTTAGATAAGCCACATTTAGTGTGACGTACAGTAAACTATAAACGACTATGATCAATAGTTACGATTTTTCCTTAAAATAATTATTTATACATATAATAATTTTTAATTAAAAAAAGTATAATATCAAATATTTCGAAATTGTGAATATTTTTTAGCTTCCGATATCTTCTATTGTAGTAAGAAAAAGTACTCGGTTACACAATCGACAATGCACTTTGTATGGAACAACATGTGCATAATTGTCGTGGTACGTAAAACGACAAATTACCAATAAATTCAACGCAACTTAAAAAAAAAAAAAAAAAAAAAAAAANTGGTCACACATCGGAGTTTTATATAAAACGTACTTCATTATTTATTATTTTTATTTTGTTTCATTTTTTGCTCTCAAAAAAAAAAAAATGTCCAAGTTAAATAGAGATATTCTTTACATGATATTCGAGGAATTACGAGATAATAATAATGTTCTTTATTCATGTCTTTCAGTTAATAAAACTTGGAGTGAAATAATTGTACCAATTTTATGGAAAGATCCTTGGAAATTTTTAAAACGAAAGAAAGAGAAAGGGAAAATATTATTTAACGTAATTATTCCACATTTATCAGAAGAATCAAAAAATTATTTTAATGAAAATTTAAAAAATGCATATGAAAGACCATCATTTTATTATATTGGTTTTTGTAGACACTTAAATTTAAATGCAGTCCAATGGATAATTAACACAGCAGAAGAAGAATCTGATATGAAAATAATTAAGAATGAAGTGATAAAACTTTTTATTAATGAAAATACAAGATTTACACATCTTTATATACCTCGACAATTTGATCATCAACTAAATCTTATTCCTGGAGCAAAACGTTGCTTTTCAAAAATTGAATTCCTTAGTTGTAATACTTGTATAAGCGATAATACTTTAATGGGATTAATAGAAATATGCAAATCAATCGGAGAATTGGAACTTTATATTGAAAAGTATAATAATAATCACGATATTTCTAAATTGATCGAATCCTCTAAAAAATTAGTTAATGTTCGTTTTGAACCCAATTATTTTAATTATTTTAATAATTCAAATAAGAATGAATCGTTCTATACTCTTATTGAAAATTCGTTGAACAAACATGCAAGTAATGTACAATGCTTTAAGATTACTGAACCACCCGTTACAAGAATTTTTTCATCATTTGTTAACCTAAAAAGGTTAGAATTGAATGGTTACGCCCGTGGAACGTTATGGAATTGTCTAGAAAACGTTTGTTTACCATATTTACAAATTTTAAAAGCTAGTCGTATACCATTAAAAGTTTTAATAAGTTTAATAGAAAAAACAAATGGATACCTTAATGAAATTAGTATAGATTATATATTTCATGATGAATTTTATAATAGAAGAATTCTTCAGACTATTTATAAAAAATGTCCAAATCTTTTATATCTTAAATTATTGATTAAAAATATTAATATTTCGGAATTAGAAAAATTATTAATTAATTGTCGATACTTAATTGGATTATGTGTCTTGGTTTCTATATACGGGGAATTTGATTGGGATAAATTATTCTTAACATTAACTAGATCATCATCACAAAGTTTATTTAAATTCAAATTTAATATTTCTCATAAAATACCAATTAAATTAAATACTTTAAAATTATTTTTTGATAATTGGAAAGGTAGAAATCCTATGTCTTTAGGTTTTTTTCAAACTGATGAGGTTAAAGAAAAATATATTGATTTAATAGAAGCATATAAGATAGAAGGAATAATTAAAGATTTTAATTATTGGCATAGACATCCATTAGAAGTCTTTAAATGGAATTAAAAATAGAATATTTAATATTAATTTTTTTTTCGTATTATTATTATTAGAGTCTTTTTTTTTGGTAATTTAAGGATACGTTGATTTTAATTTCTTATTGGTTAATTGCAATAACGTAATCAATTTGTTTATTTTTCTTTCCAATAAAAAAATCTTTTTTTTTTTTTTCTTTTTAGAAATTTCTCGATAGAATGAATAGAATGTTCGATTTTTGTTCAATCTTTTTTTTATTTTTTTTCCTAATAAAGTGGATTGTAATTATGAATTTAATGGGTAAATTGAAAAATGTTATTATTAGAATTTCCTATATTATAGTTCATTCATAAAGTTCATTCATACGGTTCATTCATACGGTTCATTCATTACGTTAAATTAATTTGCAGTAATTCAATCTTTGATGCATGAAAGAAAATTAACATGAGGTAATCTATTTGCACACGTGTGTATGGGATAAATAGGAGTATGCATGATAAAAATATGTATATATTTTTAATGTCTAACGATTCTGAAAACGCCGAACTTTGTTTGTTATTTAAATAATAAGAATTAATTTTATTGGTTTTGTTTAAATATTCAACTAACCAAAAAAATTAATTCACGAATTACAATTTGTACTAGATCGGCACTCGCAGTCTATTTGTGTCATTTGTGTCATTTGTGTCATAAATAAAAATGATGATGTGCTACCATAGAACAAAGGATAAGGATCCTGTATAACATGTCACAAAAATTACAAAATGATCGACATACCAATCTTTTTGGGACAAAAAAATTTTTGAATACTTTAAATCTTAAAAAAAAAAAAAAAAAAATTCAAAAAAAGAAAAAATGTTGAAATTAAACAGAGATATTCTTTTATTAATATTCGAAGAAATTCACAATGATAAAAAAGATCTTTATCCAATACTTACAGTAAATAAAATTTGGTGTGAAATAATCATACCAATATTATGGAAAGATCCTTGGAAATATTTAAAATGGGAAAAAGATAAAATATTATTTAATATAATTATATCACATTTATCAGAAAATTCAAAAAATGATTTAAAAATTCAAGGAATTGATATTTTTTATTATTATAAAAAACCTTTATTTAATTATATAAATTTTTGTAAAATTTTAAATTTAAATGCTATTGATAGAATAATTAATACTATTATTTATAATTATTCAAAATCTAATATATTAATTATTAAAAATGAAATTTATAACCTTTTTATTAATAATGAAAATACAAAATTTACTCATTTTTTTATTTCACAAAATTTTGATTATAAAATTTTTAATAATCCTAAATCAAAAATTTCTATTTCAAAAATTAAATTTCTTAGTTTTAATACTAGTATAAATGATCATATTTTAATTGGTTTAATTAATATTTGTAAATCAATTAAAGAATTGGAACTTATTATTGATCTTGAAAATAATAATTATAATATTATTAAATTAATTGATTCACAAAAAAAATTATTGAACGTTCATTTTTTAACTAATTATACAAAAAGTGATGAATCATTTTGTAAAATTCTTGAAAATTCTTTAATTAAACATTCAAATACTTTACAATATTTTAAATTAGCTAAACAACCTACTACAAAAATTCTTTCATCCCTTATAAATTTAAAAATTTTAGAATTAGATGATGCTTATGGTAATTTTAAAAATACGTTATGGTTAGAAAATTTATCTTTACCTTATTTACAAATTTTAAGAGCTAGTAGAGTACCAGTTAAAGCTTTATCAAATATAATTGAAAATACTAGTGGAAATCTTATTGAAATAAAAATTGATTATATTAGTCATGATGAAATTAATAACAAAAAAATTATTCAAGTTATTCATCAAAATTGTCCGAAACTTGAATATCTTAAATTAGTTTTTAGAAGTTGTAATATTTTTGAATTAGAAAATTTATTAATTAATTGTCAAAATTTAAATGAATTATCTTTTATAATTAATGATTTATTCACTTTTAATTGGGATAAATTATTTGAATTATTAACTAAATCTTCACCAATTAGATTATATAAATTTGAATTTGATTTTTATGAAGCTCCTAAATTAAAATCTTTAAAATTTTTCTTTGATAATTGGAAAGGTAGAAATCCTATGTTATTAAAATTTAGTAGAATTAATAATGAACTTACTGATTTAATAGAAAATTATAAAGTTGAAGGGATAGTTAAACAATATAGTAATGATTCTTTGGATAAGAATGAAGTTACTCTTTTAAATTATAATTTACCTATAGAAACTTATGATTTCACAGATCCAAATATTTTTCTTTTTTAAAAAAAAAAAATCTGTAACTAGTTTTTGTAAAAATTTTAGATGATTAAATAGATTTTATCCTATCATATATATGTATGTATACATTTTTAAAATAAACCGAATTTACAAAATAAAATACAAAAAAAAATACCACGAATATTTCAGCGTGCACCGCAAATTTTAAAAATTAGAATAAAACAGGTCATACTCCACGACGATGTTAAAGGTCGACATAAATTTTCTTTCGAATCAATACCGATCTCGACTCTGTATGATAAATTAAATCTTTTAGTTAAAAAAAAGGTCTAATAAACTTTCCCAAGAATAAACGCCCTGAATAATGCTCATTCGTTGATTTTTTTTTTTCACGAGCCACGACGAGGTTAAGATCGACATAAATTTTCTCTCGAATCAATACCGATCTCGATTCTGCATGATAAATTAAATGTCTTTTAGTAAAAAAAAAAACCTAATAGGCCTAACAAAACTTTTTCAAGAATAAACGCTCCGAATAATCCTCATCCGTTGATTTTTTTTTTCACGAGCCACGACGATGCTAGTTAAAAACCAAGGTCGACATATATTTTCTCTCAAATCAATACCGATTTCGGTTCCGCATGATAAATATGATAAATTAAATAATGTCTTTTAGTAAAAAAAAAAGTCCCGTAGATTTTAAAAATTAGAATAAAACAGGTCATACTCATCCGTTGATTTTTTTTCACGAGTCACGACGAGGTTAAGATCGACATAAATTTTCTCTCGAATCAATACCGATCTCGGTTCTGCATGATAAATTAAATGTCTTTTAGTAAAAAAAAAACCTAATAGGCCTAACAAAACTTTTTCAAGAATAAACGCTCCGAATAACCCTCATCCGTTGATTTTTTTTTTCACTAGCCACGACGATGCTAGTTAAAAACCAAGGTCGACATATATTTTCTCTCAAATCAATACCGATTTCGGTTCCGTATGATAAATTAAATAATTTCTTTTCGTAAAAAAAAAGCCTAATAAAACTTTCCAAGAATGAACGCTCTGAATAATGCTCATCCATTGATCACGATTCACGACGATGCTAGTTAAAAACCAAGGTCGACATAAATTTTCTCTCAAATCAATACCGATCTCGGCACTGTTAAATGTCTTTTAGTAGAAAAGGGCCTAATAAAACTTTCCCAGAATAAACGTCCTGGATAATCCCGTTGATCACGATACACCGATCTCGGCTTTGCATGATAAATTAAACGTCCTTTAGTAAAAAAAAAGTCTAATAAAACTTTTCCAAAAATGAACGCTCCGAATAACCCTCATCCGTTGATTTTTTTTTTTCACGAGCCACGAGGATGCTAGTTAAAACTAAGGTCGACATATATTTTCTCTCAGATCTCGGCTCTGCACGATAAACTAAATGACTTTTAGTAAAATAAAGTCTAATAAGACTTTCCCAAAAATAAAAGCCCTGAATAATGACCAAGGTCGACATAAATTTTCTAAATCAAATGTCTTCTAGTAAAAAAAAAGTTCCAATAAAAACTTTTCCAAGAATAAACGCTCTGAATAATGCTCATCCGTTGATCACGATTCACGACGATGTTAATTAAAAACTATGGTCGACATAAATTTTCTCTCAAACCAATACCGATCTCGGCTCCACACGATAAATTAAATATCGTTTGGTGAAAAAAAGTCTAATAAAACTTTTTCAAAGAATAAACGCTCCAAATATTTGATTTATCTCTTGAGTAATAATTTCTAATTTTTGACATTCTGTATTCAAAGAGTTCTTCAAACATTTCCAAGGATCTTCTCATTACTAATTAATATAAGAATCGTTCTAAACACTTGTAATAAATAAAGAACAAGATATTCTTAACCAGTTTCACACAATTCTATCAAAAAAAAAAAAAGAAAACAAAAATTGCGTAAATTTAATAATCTCGTCCCAAAATTCTATCTTCCTAAAAAAATAAAACAAGATAAAATAGTAAAAACTCCAATTTTTGTTTACGAACACGCTTTAAAATATAAATAGAATGGATCCTAGAATGATTCGTTTACCGTTTGGTACATTTATTGATACGAAAGACCAAAAGGAAGTATAATTAAATATTGAATTTACATATATCTCTAAAGTGCGAAATGTATGCGTTTACTTTTTTTTTATCTATTTAAACTTACCAAATTAAGTAGTATAATATTTATTCATGGAAATGACGCTTTGTATTTTGGCGTTACTAAAAATTTGTATTTACAAAAAATTCTTTTCATGTTTATTCGACCTCTTTTATTTTAAATGTCATTATTGTAAATAAGGTTAACCAGTTGGGACATCCCAAAAGCGACAATATCGGTTAACCGGTTAATTCAATTGGATAATATAGTAATTAACTAATTATATTATTTATTTATTCCGAATCCTTATTTGCGTATACCGTTTTTTATATTAGATAATAATGTGACAAATAAATAGGCATGATTTATATTTTTCAGGAGAAAAATTTTAAGTAATATTATGTAATCCCCTGTCGCACTAAGTGTCACTCATGATTACCTTTAATTTTGAAAATTGTGAGTGCGGAAAATTTCTAGAATAGTTAATCACATGTTAAATTCAAGACCTTTAATCACGTGGAAATATGTGATGAACATGAAATTTTAATGAAGATCCGTAATGAAACTATTATTTGAAGTAGACATTAAATAAATGTGCGTATGTCCTGCTTATATGAAAAATGTTTGAAATGAGGTGTAGTCGCAAATTTGATTAATATATCGAGGAATATTCTGTGCTTCATTGTAAAAAAAAAATAATAATAGTATAATAACGAAGCGTCCTATATCAGAGATTATATTCCGTGATGTTCAAAGTACTTTATATTTCATTTAGTAGTGATCGTTAATGCATGGATAATACATTTAAAAAAAGAGCCCGATATGGGAAATGTATATTTGAAATTCACTTGTACACAATATTATTTTTTCTGGTGGTAATCACAACGAGTGTATTGACATAATAACTAACGAAGCCCGAGAAACTAAGGCCGAAAAACGAGTAATGTGAATGGACTCGCATTAAATGGCCTTGAATTTGTGTATTTCTTCTTTTTAAACTCAATACTCTAACTTTTTGTGTACTAGTCTAGCTAGCGCTAGTATTCAATCAAAAATCATTATACAAATCATTCTAAGACTGCCATAACTCGAGAAATGGGTAAAGTCATAAAATAAACTATAAAAACTATGATTGACTTTTTTAGGAAAGTATTAATTATGACGGTTATATAATATTATGTTTCATATTTGTTATTGTGATTTTTTTTTTTAATAGAACTTTTTTTATTAAAACTTACTATAATTTATAAAGATTCCAGTCGAATTCGATAGTCAAGCCATGAAGATTATGCGCAAATGCGCTTACGATGCTGGAATTATAAATGAGGACAGTAAAAATCTAGAATAATCTCAAAGAAATGATCATGTGACTAAATTTAATCATCTTTGAACATTATCAGCTGAAACAGCAGCGGTTTACTGTATGAAGAAAAAGGAATATCAAATTGAACGTAAAAGGACTTTTTTAAAATTTTTTTTTTTTTTTTTTTAAGCTTCAAAATATTTTCACCATTTTTCATTATTTAAACTACAAAGAATTTTATTATTGATATAAAAAACGCAGAATGCAATATAATATTATTTTACTTTTTCAGTATTAATCTTTCACTATTTAACGACTATAAACCATAAATAATATCTTTTGACTCAATTAAGGTAGTACTAATAATTCAAGCATTTCTCCGTAAAATTCTAACAGAAAACTTGCACCATAGACGACTAATAAGCAATTTCATTACCAACTCTCCAATGCATTGATAAGCTTTTTTAACGGATTTTTGAATTCTTTTAGATCATCTGGAAAATCTGTTTCAAGATCTTTTTTAACTTCATCCAGGGTTTTAATTTTATCTTGATGAAATTCGAGATTGCTTTCTTTTTTCAGTCTAAATAGCAATTCAAATTCTTCAAGGGATATTTTCACTTCACTTAAAATCTTCTTTAACTTCGACAAACATTCATCATACTCCTTTCCAAAGTCATCTTTGTTATTATAAATCTTCATGTCAAAAGCATCTACTATTCTGTAATAATCAACAAACCCCAATTTTATTCTAATTTTGATATTGAAGGCGGAGATCTTGTCTCTAAAATTTAATATTTCTTTTCGTTTTACTTAATATATTTTCGGTGAGAGTAAAAGTATTGTTTGCAATTTTATTTTGTTGTTCTGTGATTTGAAGTACAAGTTTTGAACGAGTATTTAGTTCTCCATTAGCTTCAAGTAATTCATCATAAATAAAGTTCGTCTTTTAATTTCGTTTATCATATTTGTTTCCGTTAATTCCTTTTTATTGAAAGTTATAGAATTTAAGAGAGATGCATTTTTATTTTTGTGAGTATCCAGATCATTATAATAACTAGTGTCAAGTTCCATGGTAAAAGAACAACTATTGTGGAAAAAAATGAAGAGAGGTTTGAAAGTATCTGCAAGTTTAAGGCGTCTTACATACTTATTTGATAGACTCGTGATGCCTGTATTACACTAGTAATGATTGCGTCAAGTGAGTAAAGTTGCTATAAACAGAAGCTGACTTCATTGTATTCGCTGATCTTACTCTCATCTTTTCAGGGCCGGAATTACGTAATGCTGCTGGAACTATCCAAAAGGGGGATGATCTACACGTCACGTTTGTACTGCGCGGACATTACTCGCATACACTAAAGATACCACCATACTAATTAATATGAAAATTAAAATTATTAATGGATTTGACGAAAAGAAGGAAACAAAAAAAGTCTTTACTAATTTATTAACTTCCTTTTTGCATTGTTTAAGGAATTCTTCGGAATTAAACATATAGCCTATATATGACCGATAATTGAAATTTTATAACGAACAAGTAGAGATTGGCAAAATGCGATTTATCATGCACATGATGAAATATAATCAAATAATTTGTGCGCGTTTTTACAATGATTATAATAACTATTTATGCACATGCGCATCATGAAATCACGTGCATCATGCGCATGATATGACTCAAACATGCGCATTTTGCCCATCTCTACGAACAAGAGATAGCATATTATATTCCATAATAAAAAATTTTCATTTAAAACTAGAAATCTATTAAAAATAGTTATTTTAGTGTAATGTTAATAGATATCGTAATAACCTTTTGTTCTGATACTTAAAGCATAGCATTTCGATAGCGAATTACGTACTAAATAAAAAATTTCAAAAATTGCCTATATACGGTATCTTGTAAGTTACTTTTTATATTTAAAGGATTATATGAAGAGCCCCGTATAACATGTACTGTCCATGCAATGCTTTATGTGCAAAACGAAATTTTTTCTATTTAAGTAAAAAAAAAGGTAAGACTTTAGTAAAATTAAATTTTTGGACTTCGATATTTTAGTATTGTAACGTTTATTATTTCACTGAGGACTTTACACAATACGAATATTTAAAATAATCATAAAAATATATATTTATTGTATAATAATATATATGTAATTGACCTTATACGAGCCTACATAATAATAATATAACTAATAATGTAAACGTTTATATAGTATACTAAACTATATAATAATAAAACTATGACGTAACGTTTATATAGTATATATACTAAACTATATAATAACAAAACTATGATGTAAACGTTTATATAGAATATATACTAAACTATATAATAATATAACAGAAACTATAACCTATAATAATATAGGTTTATGAAGTATATACCAAATATAATCATAATAAATAATTATATAAGGTTTTAAATTTGTGCCAACATTCCAAATTGGAAAAAAGGTTATCTCGTCAAAATTGATTTTCTCAAATTTAATATATCATCTTCTATATTGATACTATTAAATAAATCTTTACTACAATTATTGACATTAATATCTGAGCGATTTGTAGTAAAATTATTGTGATTTACAGTAGATTGTTGTGGTGGTTGTCTAGATTGTTCCGGTAGTTGTCGTGATTGCTGTAAATTTCTGACAGGTTCATTTCTTCTGATAATAGGATGGTTTTTTAAAGCAATTTTACATAAAATATCTCCCACAATCCAAGGAAATGATATCATATTTTCTTCTGACTGTTCAGAAGGATGATATGTTACATAATACCACGCATAGGCTTTCGATTGCATTTGAATAGAAGCCTCAAATGTAAAATTTTCATCATCATAGCAGTAAAATTCTTTGTCGAATAGTTTTCGATAATACTTTTTAATTGGGGTTATCGCGTCCATTACACACTTTACTACATCTCTTGTTTTTTTCTTGTCAATTGGATGCGTGTTAATAATGTATCCACTAACTACTTCAAATTCTGTCATGATTCCAAATTGGTTCATTAATGCTTTGATACTTCTATCATATGAACTTTTGTGAATTCGTGCTTCCTCTAAATATTTTTCATATCCTTTAACACACAACCTTGTGTCAAAAGTTGATTCTACATATGGTTTATAATCCTCTTCTTTGATTGAGCGGTATAAAGTACCAAGAACTTTCTTGGATTGATAAACAGGTTTGTCAGGCTTTTCCATAAAATCTGGAAATTTACTAACGCGAAGTTTTGTTGGAAAAACTGCGGGTATTCCTGTCTTTGGAAAATCCACAGCATCCGAGTGTAAATGTGCAAGTTTAATGCAAGACTCATGCTTAGCACCTTCTGGATAGAAATCTGCCCTGGCTAAATGGGCATTGGCAATCCTACCAAGTTGATCCGAAAATACATAATTTACAAAAAATTTTTTAATGTCATCCATTGTTACTTTTTCGACGACTTCTGGTTTTTGACCCTTATAATTCATGGGTTCTTCTATTTTTTTAGGGATTAAATCCTCATCATAGATTATACTAATTATAAAAAATAAAAATAAATAAAAAAATTAGTTTTTTTTTTTTTAACATTTGCACCAAAATAATTAAAAGTTATTTATAATTCAAATACATACGTGAAATCGTCACCATCTAAATCTCCACCACTACATTGATTTGGGATATCGCGTTCTCCAACTTGTGGAAAAACTAATACGTCCACAAGATCTTTTAATGCATCGCATTCTACAGCTTTTACGATTCTTACATCTCCAGGGTGAAAACAAGGGTTACGGTACACAATGCATGTACCTGTAATTAATTTTTTTCTAGATGGATTATTAGGATCATTCCTTACACAACAATATACTTCATCTTCTTTTAATGTATTAGTTTCATCCAAAACTCCTAACAAGAATGCTCCTTTATTAACACGGATTTTTGCCTTCTTTTTAATATCTCTCAACATTGTTATACGGAATAATGAAATCAAATTTACTAAATAAGGATCATTTTCTTGTAAAAATCCCGCTTTGATATAATCTGCAAGAGAATGTGATACTCCATATTCATCAGAATTTTGTTGTAAGGTATTTATTGCTTTATTTTCATTTTCATATATTTTATTCAAGTCATCAACTTGTTGATCCTTCAAACGAATAAATACTTCGTCAGGTATTCCTAATACTGACAATAATGTTATTGCTTGCCTATTAAGAAAGGAAGGAATATAGGCAGAACACCTAATTATTTCTAACTCATTATGTGTTGATTCAAATTTCCGTTGGCTTTTACGTACTTTAACTTGATTTCCTTGTAAAGTATTATCCTGACATAACATTCCCTTATATCCAGCCATTCTAAATTGAAATGCACTAGGGATATTATTCTTCAATTCTAATTTTGATACGATTTTTTTCGCTAATAGAGGAGAAATTTTTCCAATACCATCAGAAAATACATAACCATTCCTTTCTATATCAGGTATTTCCTCGATATCATTAACAAGAAGGCGCTGAATAGCGCGAGTGCTTGAAAAACATTGCCCCATACGAGCAGCATATTTAGCAACTGTTTTATCAGAGAAATCACCCATCCATTTTCTAATATCATTTGCAGTTAAACTATTGGTAGAAGCAAAAAACCAACATGAATGATCCCTTAATTGACTTGAAGAAAAAGCCAAAAATTCATAATGTATATCTCCAATTTTAATACCTTCACGTAAGGTATAATAGATTCTATTATACAAAGCTAGACTATGATTTTCGTTTTCATCACCGCTTGAAGCACCAACTTTATTAGAACTTTCATCAACAAAATGAACACGTAAAAAATTATCTTTCACGCATTTAAAATAACGAATGACACGATTGGACGTCTCCATATTTGGAGGTAGCATATACATAGTAGTTGGAGTTACTATTACCTTGCGCATCATAGAGCAATGATCTGGTACATGTTTTGGTCTAAAATCAATATTTCTGATTCTTTTGAATTCTGAACGTAAATATGAAATTGGATCATATATACGCTTTTTGTTTTCATAAATTTTTTCTAATATATGAATTGCAGATTCTGAAGGTAGTTTATGTAATAAATAAAAGAATTCCTTGCTGAGATTATAATCATGTAAATGATTAAATGAAATATTACATTCTACCAAATATAGAACGTCAAAATTCAACATTGAACGGTCCACATATTTGTTTAAAGTTTTCCCATCAACTAATTTAAGTGGTGGATTTAATTTTCCTGATGTTAAATTATAATCTTTTGCTTTTTTAAACATTTCTTTGAAACGATAAATTTTTTCGTTTTTGGCAAAATCAAAAGTTATTTTATAAACAACCCACTTTCCAAGTTGTTCACTATCATTTGGCATATGAGGTTGAAGAGGACCTTCGCATTTTGGCGTTTGAATTCTTGTCATCCGTTTCATGGTATGGTTGGTCTTATTAAACATGGAATATTTCGCGGGAAATTTGTTTGCTATGGTAATTGAACGATAAGGACCTTGTTGTTCAATATAAATTTCACCATCCATATCTTTGAATTCGGTATTCAATGAGAATGATAAATCAATTTTGTTATTGTCTTTATCATAAATAGGCATAGAAAATTCAACTTTAATTTTACGGGTACTGTAGTCAATAACAAAATTGACCTTTTCAGTAAATTTCATTTCGGAGACAAAGGTATCAGATTTAAGATAGACACCAAACTCCAAACTTTCAGCTCTGAAAAAATATCTCTCGCTGTTATAATGTCGGCGAGAGCCATAATTGTTTCTATCGTAGCAAATATCTCCCCAAGGTGCAAATTCCTCGTTGGGTGGCATATTGAATATTTATTTTGTTATGTGATTTTTTTTTTTTTTAGAAATTCAAGAAAGAAAGAAGCTATATTTAAATAATATGCGATAAGGGATTCAAGTAAAACTTGAAAGAAAGAAGTTATATTTTAATGATCGGGTAAGGAATGTTTATATAGCGATATAGTTACACAAAAAATTTAGAATTTTTTTTTTTTAAAAAAAAAGGCATTTAACGATAAACAACCTCAATATTTATAACGTTTTAATAAAAATAATAATCATTATTAATATGGTTAGATTGTTAAAAATTATGTTATTGTTAAGAATTCGGACATAATCATCCGATAAACGTATTATTTATAAATATGTTTCATAAAGAATATTCTAAAATTCTTTTGTTTATGCATATTATTTTTTTTACCAATTTGGTGACAATTGCCAAACCCCTTTAAATATAGAATTGTTTCGGGTAAACCTTTTATAAACCAATGAAATTCTTTTTTTGTAAATATTGTGAAACACATTTTTTGTTATTGTAGATCAAATTGTTTTTTACTATTGTGGATCTTATAATATTTAGTTGAACAAGGAATTTTTTCATTTTAGCCGCATTAAGTTAAATTGACCGAAACAAAAACACACCAATTGCATCAATTGCATACAATTACAAGTAAAGTAATATTTTTTTTTTTATTGTCATTGATCCTTTTTTTATCTAATGGCGCGGTAATTCCATTCCATTGACCCGAAGAAGTTTTTGCTTTTGTCGTGGAAAATGGGAAATGATCAACATTAATAAATCACGTGAAATGCTTGGTACTACGTTTCGTTGTCAGGAGAACAGTTTTGGGCGTCAAAATTGTTACATGGATTTTCTTTTTCTACTAAAAAATTTATTTAATTTTGTACAATTTATTACTATGAAGTTGTAGTTGTACGAATTGTCAACCAAAATATAAGATTCAAGATATGAACCGGATTGAAGTAAATTCTGATATCATTCAGAATGTATTTGAGTTTTTATTTGGAATGAACTACTATAATATTAATTATTGTTATATTTGTTATTATTTATTTATTTATTTATTTATTTATTTATAGTATTTCTTGTATTTGACTAAATATCGTAGAATCGCTATAAATTCTGGGAATTTTTTTTTTTAAAAAAAAATTTTTTTTATGGCGTCCAACCGTTCAGAAAAAAAAAAATATGAAAGACATGTGTCATAAATTTATTTTTATATTTTTATTTTATTATGAAATTTTCTTTATTGTATTTTTTTTAATAATGAAAGTATTATAATACAATGATTACATTACAAAATCATCAAATCATCAAGTCAAACAAATCAAACGGGTCAGGTAAATCTTATTACCCGACCTGTCGCTAGACCCCGAATTTTTCAGGTCAACTCTTATCAACTCTTATCAACTCTTTTAACAATTTCATCATATATCCAATCCTTTAATTGTCTATAATTTTAAATAAATAGATCGGCGATTTAATTTTATTTCGGGATAAACTAAATAAAAAGCTTTTGATTAATTAAATAGCTCTTGATATAATTAAATAGGCTTTTGATAATTAAAAAGGTTAGCTTTATAGTAAATATTAAATTACGCCTCATTTTAACGCTTTCCATTCCGTATTTGGTATGAATGACACAAGGATTCCGAAACATACAGTAACATAAAAGGGTAAGGTTTGAAGTTTGCGTACAACGAATCAAAAATAATCACGTTGTTCTTTCCGTTTATAGGTAATCCTAGCCAAAAAAGTTAGCGCCATTTTGAACTGGCCGAAATTATCATAATTCCGGCCCTGATTTTCGACAATCAAATAAAAAAGTATTATGTAGATCATTAAGTATTGTGTCAACTATCAAGTGACCGACCGCAGAAAAATAATACCGCAGGAAAATAACATATCACGTGAATTTGACAAAATGTGGTACGTAATCAATGAGTTTATATTTGTGCAACTTAGTACGACAAATATAAACGTAGCGCAAACATTATTTTTTTCATAATTTCAATTTTTTAATTTTTTACAAAATGTTTAGATTAAACAGGGATATTCTTTATTTAATATTTTATAAAGAATTACAAAATGATAAAAATACTCTTTATTCATGTTTTTTAGTTAATAAAACTTGGTGTGAAATAATTATTCCAATTTTATGGAAAAATCCTTGGAAGGATGGAAATGAAAAATTATTATATAATATAATTTTTTCATATTTATCAAATGATTTAAAGAATAAATTAAAACAACAAGACAAAGATTTTTTTTTAACAAATTCTTATAAGAAACCTTTTTTTGATTATATTAGTTTTTGTAAACATTTAAATTTTATTGAAATTGAAAGAATAAATAATATTTATATGGAAAAACATGGAATATTAATTAAAAATGATATAATTAACGCTTTTATTAATGAAAGAACAAGCTTTACTCATTTATATTTACCTCAACAATTTGATTATCAATTACACCTTATCCCTGGCGCTGAACAATGTTTTTCAACCCTTGAATTCCTTTATTGTAAAACTAACGTAGATGAGCCCGTTTTTATTGGTTTAACAGAAATATGTAAATCTATTAAAGGTTTGGAACTTTATATTGAAAAATATAATAATAATTATGGTATTGTTGATTTAATCAAATCTCAAAGAAAATTATGTAATGTACATTTTAAAACTGAGGATCAATACGCTAATGATTCATTTTGTAAAATTCTTGAAAATTCTTTAATGAAACATTCTAATACTATACAATATTTTAAGATGACTAAACCACTTATTACAAATATCCTTTCATCTTTTATGAATTTAAAAATATTAGAATTGGTTGGTAAATTTAAATTTAGAAATATTAAATGGAATTGTTTAGAATCTTTATCTTTACCTTTTTTACAAATTTTGAGGGCTAGTTCTGTTCCAATTACTTCTTTAATAAGTATAATCGAAAATACTAGTGGTCATCTTATTGAAATAAATATTTATCGTACAAGTCATAATGAAATTAATAATAAGAGAATAATTCAAGCTATTTATCAAAATTGTCCAAATCTTTTATATCTTAAAATATTATTTAGAAATACTAGTAGTAATGAATTAGAAAATTTATTAATTAAATGTAAACATTTAAATGGTTTGTTTTTAATTATTAGTGATTTATTAGTTTCATTTAATTGGGATAATTTATTTAATGTATTAACTAGATCTCCAATTGGTTTATTTAAATTTAAATTTAGTTATTATTATAGAGAAATTAATTTAAATTCTTTGGAATTATTTTTTGATAATTGGAATGGTAGACATCCTATGTTATTACAAATGATTTCAAGAAAAATTACTTCAAATTTAGGTTTTTATTTATTATTAGAAAAATATAAGACAAAAGGTATAATTCAAAAATTTGATTATAATACTTGGTTTGAGCATTCTTTTAAAGATTTTGAATGGATTTAAAAAAAAGTTTTACTTTATTTTTTATTTTATTTTTATTTATTTTTTAATTATTATTATTTTAAATAAATTCATCATAAATAAATAACACTTTCAATTTCAATAGTTTGCAAGCGTTTTTCTTTAAATTAGATTATAAAATGTATTAAATAATTGTGTCTCCTTTGTATTATTATTCAGAGCGAAGCAAAGGACAATGTAAATCTGCAGCACTAAATGTAAAAAATACCATCCTCTGCGAACCTAATTGTTTAATCATATCTGTCAATTCGAAGTGTCGTTTGATCCAAAATTGCTGAGTTCCACGCAAACCCTAACCAAACCATATAATTTGACCAGCTAAGTGGCTATTTGTTTTGATCATTTCGAGCACCTCTTCAACAGTAAGTTGCTCACCATCTAAACTTTACTTAACATACACTTTACCTTTCTGTAGCGCTCTCCACCACATTTAAGGCAAAGTATCACCAATGAGTATGTCATGCAAACCTTCCATCTTTGTATTTAAGCAAGTGTTGAAAATACTCGGCAGGCTTTACATTTTTTGCACGCTATACCTGCACAAAGGTCAGCTTTTCCATATGGATACAATGTTGGAAAAGCACGTGTAATGTATCTAGGAGTATGAAATTCATTGATGGGAATACTATCAATATTTGGCCATACAAATGATACAATTGGTGTAGTTTTTTTTTGCATTCTAACAAGTACTTCATTAATAGAGTCGTCTTCACAATGGGATGAAGGAGCAAATGGAACGAAACTACGTGCAATTATATCCTCATTATCTTCATTTCTTAGAACGTGTGGAAGATAGTCATTAATGGTCCCATCTTTTGTAGCGTTTTAATATTGAATACTGATGACTATGTTGGCATAATAATGATTATTCATTTTTAACCAGAAAAGTGCTTGAGCGATTTTCATTAAAGTCTCTGAATGTTGATCCATCTGCAGAATGCCGACGCACTACAAGCACATCTGATGATGATGGATGACGAGGAAGTTGTATTGTAAACTCATATACGTCTTGAGGAAAGTTAATAACATTTCCTTTATATGCATATTGGCCTCCACGGAGACAATATACTTTATGGGAAATATTTGCGCAATTAACATCTCTTCAATCTCAGAAGTTCTTCGGGTAAGTCTCCTGGATCCATGTTGTTTTCTTTTGAAAATCATTTTGGGATGTTTTTATCGCTATAACAGTGCTGACACTCTCCCATAGACAATTTAATCGATGGAAAACGTTTGTTGTATATGGGACAAACTACAAAGTTTTTGCTCAATTTTATTTATTACGTCTCGAAATTTTTGCAAAAGTTCATGATTCGATTTCAGGAGGAATGCTATTTTATTTTTTACAATTGCATTTATTATTTTATTTTACAACAAATTATACTTATTGAAATACAAACTTTTGTTCATTTCCTTGATGATTAAGACGTTCATTTGCATCTTTCAAAATACGTTCTTTATTTAGTGCCTTCGTTGCCTCTTTTGATTTCAGTTCTTTCTCTTTCTAATCGTTCTTGACGTTTTTCTGGAGATTCAGCTGCTCTATTTTTACTTTTACTTTTGCGGTCACGTGCACGACGTTTCGTGCGTTGATCAGGATTTTCGTTTTCTCTAATTTTCGTTTTCTAATCTGCCATTGTTATCTTCTTTAAACAATTAATAAAAAGAAACTTAAAATTTCGTATATAGTCTATTTTTATTATAACAAGAGCATATTTTAAACTTTGAGTTCACGTGATTTGATGTTCGATTTTTATTTATAATTAGGGTTCTTTAAGACAATGTGAGTTTTTATAACTATAAACAATTTTTTACTGTATACTGTGAACATTTATTATTCCAAAATGTTTTAGCTATTTACATTTTACACCCAAAATTTATAAAGTTTATTATTTTATTATTCTAGATAAACAAGAATCAAGTCTGATATTTTTAATAAAAAAAAGTCTTATGTATTTTTGTTTATTTTCATTTTTTGATTAATCTATATACCTTCTGTATAATTAATTTTGAATTGTGTAGTGCATTGCATTTGCCATTTGCCATTTGCGCCTGACTATAGATTTTTGTTCTCTATTATTATGGTTAAAGTGACTTGATCGGTAAATTCATAGCATAAATGTCAATCATCTCTATTTTTCACCAAAATTTAATGATTTTAATCGATCAAAGACACTGGGAAACTATTGCACAACAGAATTAAGCACGTATTGCAGGAATACAAATAGCCAATCTAGGTATACGTTTTCTAAATAGACGCAAAGATGCACAACTGGCAAACCAACAGAATCAGCTGATAAATCAACAGAATCAGATAGCAAACCAACAGAATCAGATAGCTGAGCATAAAAGGAATGCACACAGGCTGATGTTACGCTATAATGCTGATACAGAACGTTGGAGAAGAAGGCATGCAGGTTGTATACGCCAGGCATAAAACTGGCAAAGACAATATAGGATTTCACAAACCCAGGTACAAGCATAGGCCCAAAATATTTTAAATTTACAACAACAAATATTAGCGTTACAAAACAATCCTCCAAACATGGCTACAATACAAGATGTCATGCATACTATATCACCAGGTCTTGCACAGTTACCATTTTATGATGGACAAGAGCCGCCAGACTCTTATTACCAAAAGCTTAGAGCTGTCAATGAGATGGCTCGTCCACTAGCTGTTGCTGCTTTTAATGCTGCTATGAGTAGGGATTGGAACCGGTTAATGTTAACCGGTTAATTAACCGGTTAAGACGGTTAACCGGTGTTAACCGATTCGGTACGTTGAATAGATTAACTATGATTTGCAGTCAGGGAGATTAAGTACTTTTAACTATGACTGAAATCCAATCAAACAAGACACTCTTAAAAATAGGGAGTTCGTTTATTGTGTAAAAGGTTATACTTTATTATAGAACTTTATAATTACAAGAATAATAACTAATAGGAACTAAACCTATAACGAAGGAAAATACCAACGTTATTTATATAAAAGTTACTACATATAAAGATATAATAAATATAATAAATATAATAAATATAAGAAATATAACTAATATAATAAATATAACTAATAAATTAAATATAATAAATAAAATAATTATATCGATTATATTAAATATAATTAATATAATAAATATAATAGAAATAATAGGCTAAGTAGGCTGCGGCTAGGTCGGCTTGGCACAGTTGGGCACAGTAGATCCTAATTTTCCACATGATCTTCTGGCG